AAAACCATTCGATTTATACTTATATGTAGGCTCGGTCTGATTTTATTCCGATTTAAAAAATGCTGTTTGGATTTAGCAGAGAAATGTTCTTATTTACAATTTCCATCAATAATGTAGTTCATTAAAGTAAATGTAAAAGCTCTATGTTGTATTGCTATCACTGCAGCTCTGAAACCCTGTTAGTGTTCTGTTGATAAGAGAAAAGTGGGATCCTGTTTCCGTCTCATAACTGAGGGCTATCCGCCTCCTATAATAGACTCCCTGCATAAAGAAGAAGCTGGTGTGAAATTTCACAGTGGTGTGTCCAGATCTTTTAAAATGGGGTGGCTCAGGTGAGGCACAACTTTGTGCATGGGTGGCACCAATGGTTATGCTTCTTTTGTTTTACCCCCAAGCCTTTTGTGGACAATGAAAAGCCGATTTAAAGGTAAATTAGTTTGGTGGCACCTGGGGTGGCCAATCAGATTCCGAGGGTGGCATGTGCTACCCCAGGCCACTCCCTGGACACGCCCCTGAAATTTCAGAAACTTTTTCTTAAATTACACCTCTCTGGTATATTTCATTCTGTACTTTTTGTGTTCAATCACTCCTATGTTCTCTACCCACCTCATCCGGTTCAGGGTCATGAGAGGGAGAAGGGCTTGATTTCCCTGGTGTCAAGAGGAGGTATACGGTCTTATCACAAGACCAACATGTAGTAGGAATGAGGATGCATGACCCGGCGAGTGTTTGCAAAACTGTAACAGCTGTTTAATGCTATTCAGAACACCATTAAAGCCACATGCTCTGCTGAGACAGGCAGGGGTGCCTCCAGAAAGTTTTGATAGGGGTGGCCAGACGGGCCAAAGAAATCTTTGGGGTGGCACACTAAACTGGTCCTTGTGGGAACTCTGGGAGAGTTTAGCCTGTGGCAATGTATTGCATTGTTCCTTTATTTTTATTTAAAAAAACAGTATGTATCAAAAATATTTTACTTAAATTTTACAAACATAAACATTTCAGAAAAATACATTTCAGTTATTTAAAATGTGTCGCACCCTGTCTTGTCTCCCCGTTCTGTTTAGTCATGTGTCTCTGTTAACTGCTCCCACCTGCCTCTCGTTTTCCAATCACCCAAGCTCCCAGCCCTCATGTATTTAAACCCCTTCAGTCCTGTGACTCAGGTTGGTTCATTGTTTCAGTAGTCCAGCGTGTTCTGTTATTAAAACCCTTTTTGTTTAACCGTTCCTGCTTGTCTGCCTGCCTTTGCACCCGCGTGTGGATCCTGCCTCCGCTTCATTCACTGGCACGCTCGTGACAGAATGAACCAACCCAGTAAAGAATCCAGCGGGGAGGTTCCTCCTTGGGGGTGTTTTCTCCAGTTTTTAACCGCTGATCACCTTGCCGGCTTCTCCTCCTCTGGCCTCGTCTCGCCACCGACACCGTCGCCGAACCCCGGCTGCGACGATCCCCTCCGCCCTCCCGGAGCTAGATGTGAGGTTGGACCAGGAGATGCAGCTAGACCGCTCCTGCTACATGGGCACCAGACTGGCTGTGTGCTCCCCCGGAGCTGGCCCACGGTGTTGGGAAGGATGCCGGGCTCCACCGTCATCCCTGGTCCTGGGACGGAGCCGCGAGCTCGCTGCAGCTCTGGCTCGGTGCGCCAGCTTGGACCCGCCCCCAGTCAAACCAGCAGTCCCGTCTGTGGTCCAATCAGTGCCTCCGTCATCTGCAGGCGAAGGGACCACGCCTACAGCCCAGCTGACAGAGCTCGCCGGCCTCCAGGCGGAGCTTGGCCGGATCCGTCAGCTCGTCAGCCTCCAGGAGTTCCAGCTGGACACCCTATCCTCCCCGAATTACCAAGAGAAGGTTCCGGTCCAGTCTGCAGCTCCCTCATCTCTTGGCCAAAGGATCGGGCCCACAGTCCACCCAGCAGAGCTCGCCAGTCTCCGAGCTGAGCTGGTCCAACTCCATCAGAGCCTCAGTCTCCAGGAGCTCCAGCTGGACAATCTATCCTCCCTGCTCTCCCAGTTTCCGGCACCACCAGTTCAGTCAGCTCCTGTCCCAGTGGTGGTCCCGGAGGTCACACCGCATCCAGTTCCAGCGGTGGTCCCGGAGGTTGCACCGCATCCAGTCCAGCCTGTCCAAGCGGTCCCGTCTGTAGCAACTCCTCCTCCACTCCAGAAGCCGGCGGTCCAGAAGCCGACGTCCCTGGACCAGAAGCCGATGGTCCAGAAGTCGACGGTCCAGAACCCGACGCCCCCGGACAAGAACCCGATGCCCCCGGACCAGAAGCCGACGTTCCAGAAGCCGACGCTCCCGGACCAGAAGTCAATGCCCCCAGACCAGAAGTCGACGCCTCCGGACCAGAAGTTGATGGAGGTCGACACCCCCAGTCCTGAAGTCGACGCCCCTTCCACTCCTGTGGTCAACGCCCCTTCCAGTCCTGAGGTCGACGCTCTCTCCAGTCCAGAGGTCGACGCTCTCTCCAGTCCAGAGGTCGACGCTCTCTCCAGTCCAGAGGTCAACACTCTCTCCAGTCCAGAGGTCGACGCTCTCTCCAGTCCAGAGGTCGACGCTCTCTCCAGTCCAAAGGTCGACGCTCTCTCCAGTCCAGAGGTCAACACTCTCTCCAGTCCAGAGGTCGACGCTCTCTCCAGTCCAGAGGTCGACGCTCTCTCCAGTCCAGAGTCGACGCTCTCTCCAGTCCAGAGGTCGACGCTCTTTCCAGTCCCGTGGTCGACGCCGTCTCCAGTCCAGAGGTCGACGCTCTTTCCAGTCCCGTGGTCGACGCCGTCTCCAGTCCAGAGGTCGACGCTCTTTCCAGTCCAGTGGTCGACGCCGTGTCCAGTCCCGTGGTCGACGCCGTCTCCAGTCCCGTGGTCGACGCCGTCTCCAGTCCCATGGTCGACGCCGTCTCCAGTCCCATGGTCGACGCCGTCTCCAGTCCAGAGGCCGACGACGCCGCCTCCAGCCCAGGGGCCACCACCGCCTCCAGTCCAGAGGTCGTCGTCGCCACCGCCTCCAGTCCAGAGGTCGTCATTGCCGCTTCCAGTCCAGAAGTCAAGGACGTCTCCTCCGGCGTCTCTGCCTCCGGTCACCGCCAGTCCTGCCCTCATCAGGCGCGGGCCCCCAAGAGCTCGTAGTCGTCTCCTCCTCTGCCCCAGACGCAGGTCCCCGGACTTTACTGGTTCCTACCTCCTCTCCACCGGTCCCTCAGTTCCTCTTGGCCACCCTTCCTGGTCCCCCTCCTCCCGCCCTGCTCTGTGTTCCTGTGGGCGTCTGAGGTCCGCCCTTTCAAGGGGTGGGGGGGGTGGGGGGGGGGTGTACTTTCACACCCTGTCTTGTCTCCCCGTTCTGTTTAGTCATGTGTCTCTGTTAACTGCTCCCACTGCCTCTCGTTTTCCAATCACCCAAGCTCCCAGCCCTCATGTATTTAAACCCCTTCAGTCCTGTGTCTCAGGTTGGTTCATTGTTTCAGTAGTCCAGCGTGTTCTGTTATTAAAACCCTTTTGTTAAACTGTTCCTGCTTGTCTGCCTGCCTGCCTTTGCACCCGCGTGTGGATCCTGCCTCCGCTTCACTCACTGGCACGCTCGTGACAAAATGTTATTTCAATTTTTATTTTAAAATGCATTTTTTTTAGTTTTATTCACCTGTTTCTGTGTTCACAAAAAGCTACGGAGATAAAACATTTTTTAAATGGTGAGCAGCAGAAACACGTGTATTTTTTATTCAGATTATTTCTTTACTCATTAATTTTATTAGTTTTATTTTATTTTACAATTATGTCTTGAATAAATAAAGATCAATTTATGGTTATTTTAAAAGGAGAAAAACCGACAACCCCCCAGTGTGGGACACTCGTTTAATGAAAACACTTGCAGTGGTCTCTAGTAGAAATGCATGCCTTGCAAGTCGTACTCTGGGGAGAAAAATATGTGTTTGTTTCAGGAACTAGCAGAATGCCACATTAGTGGAGAGCTTCACACAGCAGGAGTTGGAGTCTTTTCCTGATATTTGGACCTCTGACTGGATAACAGCAACACAACTCTAGCGCTAACTCTGTTTGTTTTGCAACGTTGATGTTTTATCTCCACAAATAACACAATCCTGGAGGAGTTCTGCTGTGTGGTGGAGTTGCTAATGCTAACAGTTGGCTTTTTTTAGTTGAGACGTTCTCTGCTGTTTGCTGGAGCCTTTCCCATTGCAAGCCAAGATGGGTGAGCACATGAATGTTAATTGACAGCCTGACGTAGATCTGTCAGGTTTTTCAAATCCTAGAGATTCACCATCTATTTTCTATCAGAAGCTAATGCTGGAGATATGTGTAGAAGGCTATTTTCATGTTCAGCCTGCATGAAAAACTCAAGAGTGCCCAATTATAATCAGAAATAATAATCAAAAACATTTTTTTAGTGATCCATGCCTTTAAAGAGCCTTTATGGAAGGTCCCAAAAGCTTCTCATAGCCCCAGAGCTGCAGATTGCAAACCCCTGACCAACACCATCATGCGCCTTCTTGACATCCGCTCCAAGTCATAACTGTTGTTAGCCTAGTGAACTAGACCAAATTCTTGCTTTGCAAAGTTTGGTCTAGGCATGCTCCATTGGAACCTCAGCAGCTCCTACCAGGACTCTGGCTAGCCAATCACAACTCTCTAGAGGGGTTTCAAACACATAAAGAGCTGTGATTGGTCCATAATGGTGGGCCAATCATAGTGCTCTATCTGCTTAGTGAACAAATCACAGAGCTTTATCCGCTTTGTGGGCCAATCAGGGCACTCTATATGCCTGGTGGGTGGGATAATGCAACAGAGTGAAACAAGAGAATGTCACATTCATTGTCCAGTGGAATGCGGAGATCATTTGAAAGACAACGGTAGAACCCGCCCCACAACCGAGAGCTGTCAATGGAGCATGGCCAGACTAAATAATACATTTATTTAGTCTGGCTTGCCAGGCTAAACTGTTGTGAGAAAAATGTGAAAACTGAATTCTAAAAATACACGAAAGATTCAAGATTTGTTCACAACAGATTTTATTGTGGCTGTCCTTTAGTAGTGGTTACTCTTACATTAGATCTGCCATATGGGTACAGTAGAGGAGGTGTTGCACACAAACATCAGAAAGCACTAGGAAACATTTTCACTCCAAACTAATCGCTATATAGGTTACATATATGTTTGGGGTAAGGGAAGAGAAGATGCAAGATCACAAGACATATATACCGCACAGCTGCAGACAAACACTGTTAAATTTCCTCCCAGAGAGATTTGAAGGGGGGCAGATTACTAGAGAAGAAGAAAGAGAGGAAAGATAGAAGAGACAGGAGACAGAGAAAAGTGAAATGTCTGTTTGAGGAAAAACTGTCTGTTCGGTTTGACGGGAAGTCCGTGGTGATTTTTGGAGATTCTGCTGCAGGAAAAACTGCTCTGTGGTGGTGTCGTGAACACTCAATGTCATTTCAGGAAAAAGAAGCCAGTAAAATTCCACAGAAAACACCAAAGCCTGTAATCGTCATGCTGTGGTTTGTTGAACATGTCTCCAGAAGGTTGCCTGTCAGAGTTGATTTGCGGCCTTTGTAATGTCATTGTGGTATGAGTCATGTTTGTTCTATAAAGTGTCCAGCTTTAGTTTTACATACTTTCACCTAAAAACACACCAGTCAGTCATTCTCACCTCTGTGTGCAGCCTCCCCATGACGACGCTTCCTCTACAAGCTGCTTTATTGTCATTCTGGTGTATGTTGTAAATATTTAGTAAATATTTAAGGTGTTGCAAACAAAGTTGAGTTTTTTTTTCTGTGACCTTCGTGCCTTTTTTCAGTTTGTGCAGAATAAACACTTCATCATCCAGCTTGCAAAAGTCGTGTGTTGCTTGTTTACTGTTGCCCTTCCTTTCTGAATGCAAGACTGAGCAAATGCAGCAAAAAAAAAAAAAAAAAACTAACACAACATAGCTCAGATACACCTCCCAACCCTCAGTGCTATTTATAATTATAGTACAACGCTTTAGAAAAACAAGACATTTTAAGGTTTATGAAAATATCCTGCTTCACCAGCTTTATAATGGGATATACTAGCTCCCCTTAGCTTGATTACATAAAAACAGCTGTAAGAAAGAGGGTCAGAGTTCACACCTCAACATCTGTAAATAAAACAGATATTCTAAGGCAGTCTTCAAAAAAAACTTTTACAGATGTTATGATCTGTAAAAGCTTTTTACACAAAGGCAAAGGAGATAGTTACTTCCTGGAGCACAGGGCAAAAGACTGGATGGCCAACAAAAACAAATCATCAGAATTAACTTTAAATTATTGCTAAAATATAACAGCATTAAATAAAAATCAATGATTGAAACACAGATAACTAAAAAAAAAATAACTAAAAAAGACTTAACTTATCTTATCAGCTCTCAGACTCATCCATGATGAATGAAATACCAAGCATCATACTGCTTATCATTACCACTTAACAGTCATTATAGGATCATTTGGTATTTAGTTACTCCTCTAATCCACCATCAATCCTTTTACATTCATGCATGACTCCCGAAGGCAGGTGCAGAAGCCGTGTAGCTTGTCATTGGTTAATGCTTTGACTTCAGAATACATCAGATTTGCTTTTTCAAAGGATTTCAAATAAACAATCAACAAATATTGACCATTGGTTTCCAGAGAGAGTTAATACAGTAGAAACACTTTTGTACGTCCTCCAGAACAGGCATAATGGGCGAGGCTGGTTTGTTTAGTTACTTAGCGTTCCTCTTTGATCCAAACCTTTCAGAATCAAAATGATGGAGTTCCTCTCAAAACCTTTCTGTTTTTTATTGGTTCATTTTCATTGCAAACATTTATTTCATTCTATGCTTTAGTATCTGATTAGGCTGCATTGTTTGGTTCTCTTATGCAGAAAAACCACCCGTCATGAGATCTTGCAGAACAGAGCTACAGCTCAATCTTACAAGCTGGGAAGGACTCGTCCTGCATGACGACTGTGCTGCTGCTTGCTAGGACCATGATGTTCAGTTCCTGCTGCTTGTCGTGAGTCTCCTGGTACCACTCCCTCATCACGTCCGTGTCATGGGTTGGAATCAGAGTGACCTATACAAATACGAACAAAAAGCCTATTTAAGTTGTCCTTTTTCCTGGATATTAAATTTTCTAATTATGTTCCACAATCACCAAGCTTTAATGACCAAGTTCATAATACATTTTCAGTGGTCCCATGAATGCCTTGTGAGTCGATGTCTGTGTGTAAAAAAGCTCTTGCCCTCCTGTTTCAGGAAGTAGAAGTGAGCCACAGCAAAGGTGAGAAGGAGACGGCAGCAGAGGTGTGACCAAGTCACTGCTTTGCAAGTCACAAGTAAGTCACAAGTCTTTCCAGTCAAATCTCAAGTCAAGTTCAAGTCAAGTCCAAAGTCGATGTGGAAGTCCAAGTCAGGTCAAAGTATTTAACTTTGAATTTTCAAGTCATCTGTCCAACTTCGATTTAATGACAATGATAATAAATAAATTCCAGAAATAAAGCTTCTTAAAGTTTCATTTATTTGCTCAAACAGCAGAAAGTGCAACTGAAGTTGATTATAAACAAAGTGCTACTGCATTTAGCAGTAAATCAAACCCAGAACGAAGTATGATTCATGATTTTTGCCCATGTCGTGCCACTTTTGTGCTAAAATATCAAATATGCTCAAGTTAAGTCATTGGTGTTCAAGTCCGGCTCAAGTCATAAGTCTATAGATTGCATCAAGTCAAGACAGAAGCCTTTCAAATAATGACATGAGTCTGACTCGAGTCCAAGTCATGTGACTCGAGTCCACACCTCTGGACGGCAGGATCTGGAGTTATATTTCCTAATATTTGGACATCGCCTCTGATTGGGCAACAGCAACCCATCTCTACCACCGACTAGATTTACTTTGCAATGTTTTATCTCAATAAATAACACAAGCCTGATGGAGTTCTGCCGTGTTGTAGAATTGCTAACAGTTAGCGACTAGCTGAGATCTCTCCAGGACTAAAACAACAGCAGCCTTCTCTGTCATGAACCAAGATGGGTGAGTTCTTTAAAGGGACTTTTCGTACTTTTGAATTTTTATGCTCGCGATTGCCCCCTCAGGCCAAAAGCGTAACGGCAGCTTCAATGGTAGGCTCGTGCACGAGGCGCGTATGCTGTACGTGCACACTCCTTAATGAAAATAACAGCTGAGACAGTCACGTGTGTGTGTGGCCCGGAGGACAGAAGAACACAGCAAATTAATAAAAATAATGGGCCTCTGTCTCTGCAGCTGCACTTTCTCGTAGGCCGGCTGAACGTGCAGTGTGTGTGTGTGTGTGTGTGTGTGTGTGTGTGTGTGTGTGTGTGTGTGTGTGTGTGTGTGTGTGTGTGTGTGGCCCGGAGGACAGGGGACAGGAGAACACGCAACTAATTAATTAAATAATTTAGTTCTGTACCTTTCTCTTCAGCACAGCCGACAAAAGTTTATGATGGGTCAGTCCTCCTGCATGCTCAGATCATTCCCTTCCCTTGCTTGAAAAACTGTTTCAAAATGAAAGTTGAACCCACATCTTTTTTATCCAAGAATTCAATGCCGTTAGGCGCATCTCAAATAAAAATGTGGGCGTCTTATTACTGTAAAAAAATTATCATTAATATAAAAAAGAAACTCCAAATAACAAACTATGCTCACACCCAGAATTGAACGCAGGTCTTCTGCAAGACAATCAGACATCTTACTAGGTGAGCTAAGGCGCCAGTGACATTCATTGTATCTATAACATTTATTTCCTGAAACAACGTCAATCCAAAGAACGGTTCGGAGCGAAAATGGCTATTTTGTTGCTAATTTGCAGGAAATATCTAGAAGAAAGTTCTACAGAAAGTGGCTAAGGGTCCTCAGAAATGTAGCTAGGTTCATCACTAGGCGTTAGGAACAGCAACAAAGTCGCTGAGTTGGCACTGCCTCTCTCTCTGCTGCTAAAGCTACTGATAGCAAATGCTACGGGCTATGCCTGAGCGTGAACGCGCATGAAGCAGCCTGCTCGACCCGAGCAACTCTCTTTTTCTGTGATTTTACAGAAAAACAGGCAATCACAGTAAAAATGCCAGGGCTCATTCTACAGGACCAGGGCATTGCAGGAGAACGTATGAAGAAGAAATTTGTTATTTCTATACATGTTTTGATTGTCAAACTTCCTTATAGTCCCTTTAAGGCTAATTTTCAATATGACATAAAATTTCCTGGACTTTTCTAATCTGAGCGTTTCCCATCTGTTTTATATCGGTGGCTAATGTGTGAAATAGGGAAGGGGACCATTTTCAAATTTAGCCTGCATGCTAAACTCAGAGTAACTGATCATATATAGGAAAATAAGTTAAACAAGAGGCCTTCGCAGCGCTTTCGCTGCTCGGGCCTAAAAAATGTTTCTCAGTGAACTAGGTCTTTAACAACCAGTTCATGTAACCAATGTGGCCATAAACAAAAGGTTTTTGAACAAAGGATGCTTATTTTTAATTAGGGATGCAGCATCGATCTAAGTGTGAGGCATCATCGTTTTAATCTGCTCCAGCAGTTAAATAAACTGTTTAAGATAACGTTAGCTTGATATGTTAGCTTCCATTGCCACCAATGTTATCGGCTAATGGTGCGTTCGCTTTCTCCTTGGAAATTCTAACTTCTCAGTAAGAAAAATCAAATGTAAAAGTACGGCAAAAGGAATGAAGATACAAAGTAAATTTAGTTCACAGTAAAGATGTTTGCTTCAGTTTAATTATCAGCTTACAAAACTACAAGGACAATGTTAAAATACAAACAGTTGTATGTTATTTATCGTGATATTTATCAAATATGTTTACATATTGAGAAAAATATATATTTAATTATAAAAGAGAATTAAAATATGAAACACTCAAAAGTATCGAAAATTGGTACCGTTATGTACCGGTATCGATTCCTAGGGATGCTCGATGTTGTCTGACTCTTAATTTACAATATTGACATATAATGATACCAATATATGTTGGGTCCCCCTCTCATAAAAAGAAAAACTATTTGAAGTTTTTAACATCACATATCTCCTAGCATGTGCAAAACCACAACTACAACACCAGCTGAATGCCATTGTGACTAGGTGTGATGCTAAGATGTAATTAGTAAAATATTTCTCTTTTTCTGTGTATTGCATTTACATTGATAAAACAATTATAAATGTCTTTAAATTTAAAAAAGCTAATTTATACTTCATTAGCTGTGCCAAATGAATTAAAACATCTCAAAAACTTTACCTCAAATCTGTCATGTTTTGGCATTTTAAGAGAGGAGGGAAGAAACTGAAGAGTTTGATTTATAACAAGTGTATGGTATGTAAAAGGTGTGTCATTAAAAGACTGAAAACTGATACCGATATTCTCGTCTCCATCCATCCATCCATTTTCAGCCTCTGTGGGAGTCCTAAGGAGTTCCCTGGCAGGCTGAGAGACATAGTCCCTCGAGTGTGTCCTGGGTCTTCCTCCTTTAAGTTTTCTCCCTGCTGGACGTGCTCAGAAAGCCTCACCAGGGAGGCATCCTTACAAGATGCCCGAGCCACCTCAACTGGCTCCTCTTGATGTGGAGGAGCAGCGGGTCTACTCCGAGCCCCGTCCAGATGACCGAGCTTCTCACCCTTTCTCTAAGGGAGAGCCCGGCCACCTTTTGGCCGCTTGTATTCGTGGTCTCGTACTTTCGGTCATTACCCAAAGCTCATGACCATAGGATGAGCGTTGGATTGTAGATCGATTGGTAAATCGAATGCTTTGCGTTCTGGCTCAGCTCTCTCTTCACCAAGACAGATAGTTACAATGCCCACTTCTCTGCAGAAGCTGCCCCAATCCACCTATCGATCTCACACTTCATATTTCCCTCATTTGTGAACAAGACCCTGAGATACTTAAACTTCTCCACTTGGGGCAGGACCTCATCCCTGACCCATTAGGCATTCTACCCTTTTTCAAATAAAGACCACGGTCTCAGATTTAGAGGAGCTTATTCTCATCCCAGCTGCTCCACACTTGGCTGCGAACTGCTCCAGCGATAGCTGGAGATCACATTCTAATGAAGCCAACAGAACCACATCATCTGAAAAAAAGCAGAGACTCAATCCACCAAAATGGTTCCCCTCAACACCTTGGCTGCACCTAGAAATCCTGTCCATAAAAGTCATGAACAGAATCTGTGATAAAGGACAACCCGACTTACTACAATGCGAACCAAGCTCTGACACCAGTCATACAGGGACCTAACAGCCCATATCAGAGGGCCTAGTGTCCCATACTCCCAGAGTATCCCCCATGGGCCTCCCGAAGGACACTGTCGAACACCTTCTCCAAATCCACAAAAACACATCTAGATTGGTTGGGCAAATGTAGTTCTTGCTGTCTTGCTCGTCCCCATCAGTGTGTGAATGTGTGTGTGAATGTGTGTGTGAATGAGTGAATGACTGATTGTGTTGTAAAGCGCCTTGAGGGGTTCCAGGACTCTAGAAGGCACTATATCAAATACAGGCCATTTACCATTTACACCACACACAGTGGAACAAAAGCTGCCGACCGTGGTTTTCTAATCGCTATTTGTGGGTTAGGGTTAAGGTCTCTCATGTCTTGAAAATCATCTGACAATTTAACAATCCTGCTGTGTGTTTAAAATGATTACACAATCATTGGTCAAGACCAATTTGGGGCAAAACAGCCTTTAGACATTTTATAGTCTACATCTGAAAAGCAACAATCAACATTGATTCCTGTGAAATGAGAGGAAAACCAAAAAGAGAACTGTTCATTTGAATGTTTTACAGTTTCTGCTCACTTAAATACACTGGGGCAGAGGCGTTGACGGAAAACAATAAAACACAATCAAATAAATGTGCTCATGAAACAAAACCATCTAATACCAAGCTCATAGTTCTTTGTTGACTTAATTTTGTATTTTGACGAATGGTTTTTACTCCAATGCTCAAAACGTACCTGCATGTTGTTTCCCCACTGGGACTTTCCTTCGAGCAAAGCATCAAGGACAGCCCGGCTGGGTTCCTGAGCTGTCAGATCGTTGCCGCTGACCACATAGTAAGAGGATCGGACATGCTTAAAGAAGTCAGCGTTCACATTTTTGGCACTGCAGTGATTGGGGATGTAAACCAAATCCATGTACATAGGAGGACAGTTTGAATGAGATGATATTTTTCCACCTCCAGGTCCTGAAAAACAAAACAAATTTCTCCTGTTTAGCATTTGAAAACAATAGAAGAAAACTGATTAAATATAAAAGTGTTCACCTAATGCAGTGGTTTTTACACCTTTGGATGCAGAAGTATTGGTTGCATTTTTGGCATCTTTCCCTTCTCCACCACTTTTCTTGGGAGAAGCAGTCTTTGAGTCCTTAACTTTGGACAGGCCACTCTTTCTAGCTGGTGATGAGGACTTTTTCGACAGCTTTTTCTTACCGGGCTTGTCTCCTCCATTCGCATTAGGATTGTGAACATTTTCTTCAGCCTTTAGCGCTTCTGGATCCACCATACAAGCATCATGACTGCCTGAAAATGGAGCAGAATCCCTGAGTGCCACTGGAGGAGGATCGGCCTGCCTGTAGGTCAGAGTTCTGTCAGTAGGTAGGGTCTCAGAGTCATCTTCAGAGTCAATGTTTGCGTCTGCTGTGATGGAGGGGCACTCTTCTGTTCCTGGTGGTACATCTGAATCTGTCTGTGAGGGAGCAGATTCACTAATGGATGTGGGTGGAGTATCCTCACATTGCTTGGCAGGCAGCTTACCTCCTGGAGGTGGAGGACCTTCCCCTGACTTGACCAGAAGCTTCTTCTCATCTAAAACATTTTCTTCATTTGTGAAATACTCAAGAGGGCTTGGATTAATGAAAGAAGGAGATAATTCAGTCTTGGGATGACGGTACTCACAAGAAGTGACAAGACAGAGGTCAACATCTGTCTTAGATGCAGCACAAGGACTTTTCTTTGTGGTGTCTGGTTCCTTGAAACCACAGCAAGAACTGTAATCGAATGGATCAGAGGACAATTGTAGCTGTAAAGGAGAAGGAACTTTAGGACTCACAGGAGAATCGTTTTCAAGGCTCAAAGCATCACATTTAAAAGGATTTGTTTCCTTTGCTGGGGAAGGTGTATTTCCTTTTGAAAGATTAAAAGACGTAGATGGGGAAGAAGGTTTTGGGGGTGAGGGTGACTTGTCATATAACTGCTGTGAATCAGAGTTAGTTGTGCTCTCCACAGATTGTGAGATGGGGCTGGGGATGTCTTTAGCTGGAGGACCTCCTAACACAGGAGAAAGACGAGGAGAATGGGTGACCGATGATGCCTTTGGGGAGACTGGTGACATATCTGTTAGTTCTACCTCTGCATGTGACATCTCTGCCATTTGGCAGGGGGTTGCAACAGAGGGAGTTGACTGAGATGCATCAGACGGAGTTGCAGAAGTGGCACAGACTGATTCATTTTCCTCAAAATGACAAGAGTTTTCTGCTGCAGATGTTCCCCCTCCTGCTGCTCTCAGGTCTGCTCCATCAGAAAGAGTGTAATCAACCTCAGTAGGGCCATTCTCTGTTGCATGTGAGCTGCTGCCCAGTGACTGATGTTCTGGAGATTGCTTACTAAAGTCCAGAGTTAAGGAGTGGTCTGGGGACTCTTGGCCAAACTCTACAGACATTGCAGAATGTTCTGGAGATTTTGTGTCCTGTAACTGAGCCTTGCTTATGGTCTTTGGTGAGTTTTCTGGAGAGATAGACATAGGCCTTGGACTATCTTCTTTGGTTGGAGATTCCTCAGCCTCATGTAAGGTGGTTGGAGTCTGAACCACAGAAACAGATAAAGAGTCATCGACTTCTGTTGAGTGAGGAGAGCCCACCTCAGCATGAAGGGAAGGAGAACCAGTGGTTGGTTCAGGCAATGAGCTGGTGGCCAAGGAGGCTGTGGATGCTGAAGCTAGGTGTGAAAATGTGTCTTCTGCTACCACTTCTTCCAGTGGAGTTTCAGACTTCTCTGATGTGGTGCCTTCTGAAATCGACATTTTATTGTCTTCTTTAAAAGTGGCAAAAAGATTGGTGTCAAATTCATGCTTAGTCAATGGTACAGAGGACATCACTAAATGATTCTTTTCAACAGATTTCTTGGGATCTATATCAAAGGGTGACTCCTTTGTCCCAGGGGACTCTGGCTCAGTGTGTGGTGTGCTTTTTGGAGAAGGAACTTCCCTCTCGACAGGAGAAGAGTCCTCTAATTCTGTTTCCACAGGCTCGGGGGTAACTCTGTTAGAGGAATCCTCTTTATCACTTTCGACCTCCACAATGACTGGACCCTGTGACTTGTCTTCTGTTGCAGGCGGTAGGATGTCCACTTTCTCATCTACTGGTGACTGGTAATAAGGGGTGTGCCCCGATGACTGGGGTGAATTAGCTTCTTCCAGTGGTTTGTCATCTGGGCTTTGAGATGAATCAGTTGTTGCTAGAGTGATATCAGCCAGCGTGGATGACAGTTCTATTGGAGCATCAAACATGGCTGGAGATTCAAAAACATCCTTGGCTTCCACTGAGGGAGAACGAACAAAAGGAAATGTTGTGGACACTGCACTTAGCTTGGCTGGCTCAGCATCATTCTTCTCATGTGACTTTAGATCAGAGTGGACTTTTTCAGCCTTCTCTGTTGAGGTAAACCCCTCACAGATTTTATCCTCTTCTAGGGATGAAGGGGGCGATATTGAAGAAGCAGAATGGTCGTAGTCTCGGCCTTCCGTGGCATCACTCTGAGAGTGACTAAACTCTGGTAGATCCTGAATTGGTGAAAGCTTCTTATCAAACTCTCCTGACGCTGACTTCCCCAACCTGTCTACATCCTCAGATGGAGAGGCCGTCTCATCATTGGTGGCTTCGTCACTCATGATGTCCCTAGGAGTCAACATCTCATCCAGTGGTGTTGGGACGCTAGATATTTCAAGAGTGGATTGCGTGTGACCAGAAGTGGCCGTGAACTCATCAGGGGGTTCACCTCTGTTCTCATCATCCGAAGCTGTGGAGCTCTCAAAACCAACTGTAGGCATTTCATCGCGGAAAGACGCAGCAGGAGAAACTGGAGAGGAAATTTTGGGTGAAGCTGATCCAGGAAGAGTCTGCCTCTCTGCTTCTTTAGGACTTCCAAGCTTGTTTTCTACGTTCTCATTAGTCATGCCATCACTGTCCTTACAAATATCTATTTCTGTAAGCTCGTCATGGTGTTCCTCTGTGCAATGCGTGAGATCACTTTCATCTGCTTCCTCTTTTTGCGGTTCATAAACCTCCTCCATCTCCCCCTTCTCTTCATAATCACCTCCTTCTGATGTCTCCTCCATTACGGTGCCCTCATCTTCAAACTTCTCACAAACGCTGACATTGACTTTTTCCTTCAGAAGCTGTTCGTCTGGAGTCCCTCCACTGTCTCCTTCTGCCTCTGTTGTTGTTATACCCTCATCCATAGATTCCAGTGCTTCGGGAGACTCTTTGTTCTGTACTGTTTGTTCCTGTTGGATCGCTGAAGCCTCTCTCTCCTCATTTTGATCTACAATAGCTTCCTCCTCAACTAGCTCATCAGCTCTGAGCTGCTCAAAGTCTTTAGTGAGGTCCTCTGGTGAGGACATCAAAGATCTTTCTGCTTCTAGATCCTCTGTAACAGCAGCAACAGCTGCAGCAGCAGGGCTTACTGGCAGTTTGCTATCTATCTTTGTCTCTTTCTTCACTGCCTTTGACTTTCCTTTGTCTTTTAACTTCGAGAGAGCTCCCGATTCTTTCTTTGATGCGTCCTCCTTTTTCAGTGGCTTTGGTTTGATATTCCTTTCTTCCCCTGCAGTGGTGGTCTTTTTTATGTCCCTGGAGGACTTTTTGACATCTTTCTTTTGTTCTTTCTTTTCTTCCTTTTTGTCTTTCATAGGGGAATCTCTTCTGATGTCCCTTTTCAGAACTTTTTTCCCCTCCTCTTTCTTTACTTTCTCCTCCTTTCTAGCTTCAAGTTTGGAGGCGTCATCTTTTTTCATGGGTGCTTTGGTTTCTTTTTTAGTTGTCTTTTCAGCTTTGGGTTTAGCTTCAGGTTTTTTGTCCAGCGTTTGGTTTTGGTTGGACTGATCAGTTTTTGCTTTAGGCTCTTTCTCCTGTGCCTTTGCCTTGTCTTTTTTCAATGGAACTTTTTCTTTTTTGTCTTTCTTTTCTGTTTTCTCTTGAGCTGATTCCACGTCAGTCTTTGCCTTCTCTGGCATTTCCTCCTTTGAAATCTTCCTGATGCTTTTGATTGGGGATGGCTTTGGGGTAGATTTCAGGCTCTCTTTACTGTCTGTTCTGTGCTTCATCTTTGTTTGCTTTAGCGTTGGGGTTGATGGTGAGCTAGAAGACAATGCTTTTTGAGTGACAACTGGCTGTTTCAAGAAATCTAAATGCTTAAGTTTTTCCATCCCCTCAAAGATGTCATCTTGGGTGGCGTTTCCAGAAAAGAGAACTCGCACAACCTTTTCTGAGGGGTTTGCAGGGTGCCACACAATGAGAGAAGAGATAGAAGTCAAGTAAGAAAGCGGAAACTCAGATTCTTTTCCATTTGGAAGCAGAATTGAAGTAGTGTCTTTTTCACTGCCTGTCCACTGCTTCATGAAGTGCTGCATCTCTTTGCTGTTCTTAGAAGGATTGAGAACATACATTTCAAGCATCCCAACACCCATTTTCTGAAAAAGTGTGATTGGTTCTATGGTGTTTCCTACAGGCCTTTGCAACGTCTCAATCCTCAAGCTGAGCTTGTTCAAAAACTGCTGGGTGAATGCTGCCTCATCAACATTCCTGCGCACCCTGTAATTAGGTCCAGGATGATCCAGGTTTTCAGGAAAATTCACAAACACAACACCAATATCTGGAGAGATCATGTTCTTCACCCAGTCACTGTTAGCTGTGGAACCCTGTGATTGTTCCTCCTCGAGTTCCGCAATCTTTCTCTGCAACATGCTGTTAATGCCTGGCAAATTGTCATCGCCGATGTGGGTCAGGAGGATGGAGTCCACCCGATCTAGATGCCTTACTAGTTTCCAGAAGCATGACTTCCTGTCTGAACCACCGTTGATAAGCATGTTGAATCCATTAACGGCAAAGAGAGCAGAGTCACCTCGACCACCAGGGAAAATGTAACAGCACGGTTTGGAGAGTTTGAGAAATCCACCTGAGGTCGGAGGTTCTAACATGTCAAAAGGAGACGGGATCTCTACTGATTCCGACAAATACTCTGTGAACTCTGAGAGGCCCTCCATTTCAGGGAGGATGAGAGTGGAGTTTAGTTTCATGTTGATGAAGTCTTGCAGGTTGTGTTTGTCCAAGTTGGAGTTTTTCCAGTCTCCTTGTTCAGGACAGGAGAGTGTAAGGTTGGCTTTGTTTGCTGGGTGGATGGTGCTGAGCAACTCACCAATCTGTGCATGGAAAAATCAAAGGATTTTTAACAGTTTTCAAATGATAACTGATGTTTCAGATTCAGTGTGTTTCTGTTATTATTAAAAAGAAGTTTGTTTCTCAAAAAACAATAACTTTTTCTCTCTGAATTCTGCAAAGTACTTTCATATGGATGTGTGAGTGTACGTGCATCTGTTTTGTCGTGCAGCCAATTGTCATCTGTCTTATTTTCATAAAAATATATAAAAAAACGAATAGGCTTGTTTCCACTATCAGAACTTACGGGATATTTTACCGGATGTTATGTGCAAATATGTATTGGACCAGGCCACCCTGACAGGACCACTTTCAGGGTGGTATTGTAGTGACCTCCGACATTTACATATAATTCATATTTTTACTGTGATAATGATCTGTAAAATACATTTTGAGAAAAGGACCGTCAATGTGATATTCTGCAAACTGTAAAACACTTCTACCATGAGGTTTAGACAATCACTTTACTCAGAAAAATAAACCAACTGAATTGTAAATTATTAGATTATCATAAAACAATAAGGAATTATTATGACACACTGGAAACATAAGAAAACATCAGAAAATATTGTAAAGATCAATAAGAAGTTGCTATCAGAGCTGTGTAGACTTAAGCCTGGTTATATACCATGAGGCACGCACGGACATTGTCCTACATCGTCCCAAGTGGGACTCCCACGTCTCCCAGTTTGGCAGGCGTAGCTCAAACGTTTAATGAGCACTGATAGAACAAATTAGTCAATTAGTTAATTCTGTGTTTTCTATCTAATTTCATTTTTTGTGATTCTTCATTATACACAGAGCAAAAAGAGCTTGTTCTTACCTCTGAACGATATTGCCCTCTACTGCCCGCGCCTTCTTGATGACTTGATGACCATGTCCCATGAGTGGTCCAGCGTGTATACTCCTTTGTCCCTGTTCATGGTCCTGGGCCCACGTCTCCTTATCTCAATCGCTTCTTTGATCCACCTTTTGAATTTTGGAGAAGGCGCGGGCAGTAGAGGGCGACATCGTCTCTGCTGCCCGCAGATAAACTGAAGTGATGCCTCCAACATCGGCGTTTGCTCTGATGAAGGTGGCAGTGAATCGAAACATGTCGGCAAAGGTAAAAACAAGCTCTTTTTGCTCTGTGTGTAGTGAAAAATCATTAAAGATGAAAACTAATATTAATCTCCATGGTTGTGGGTGTCTTTTGCTGCTGATCTGTGATGTCAAGTCACTCACTGACAAAGGTTGTTAAGGTCTTAGCAAATTCCTTAAAGGGTCACTTTTGTAAGGAGACACAACAACTGAAAGGACGAAGCCATCATACTATCCCTGTCACCTCCCCCCTCTCAGAAATGTCCCAGAACTCATCTAGTGGAAACAGAGTTCATGTCCTCAAGTTATTGATCCAAGTCAAACGGTGATGTAGATGTCAACTAGTCACGTGCAGATGTCTTTTCCTGCATGTGGACTCACCTCTTGATCAGTGAATATGTCTATGAAACTGAAGAAGGAGAAAGATCCAGACTGAAGAATCAGCTCCCCGGATTTTTCAGAGCATTGTCCCGCCAGCACCAGAAGCTTGTGCCTGGCGGTGTCAGAGATCATCAAACGAACCTGCAAATTAAAAGAGCAAAATAACATCTGAGATGACTGGAGTGAGGCTAAAAGCATAAAACGATCCAAGCGTTTGAAAGAATATGAAAAAAGAACACAAGCAGCAGGAGTGTTCAGTTTAGTGATTTATTGTAACTGAGGCACCTCCGGTTTTGTGTCGCTGCCGTCCATTAGCTAAGTAGCTGACTTGTGCTCTCACGATTCACTCTGCTAAGTTTCCTTTTATCCATCTGTCTCTGCCTCTCCCACTCTCTGCTGGTCTTTTATTCTACTCTAGCAGCTTCAGCTGTTCTGGGCGACTGGCTCGGCCGGTCCTGCTGCACTGTGAGACATTATTAATGCACATTTGATGGAACACAAGACACAGGAGGACACCATGTTTCATCTAGACTATTAAATCTCTTCCCTTATTCCAATCTAAGCACCAAACAGCACAAATTAAACTGTAAAAGACAGCGCTAGCTGTTCTGACAGTAACTGGATTACAGTGTCCCAGATATTTAATTTCACCCATGCCAGCCTGCAACATCAAACTGAATACAAACCCTTGCTATGCTGTAAATTGTCTTTAAATGCCTAAATAAATGATTGTGTGAAACATCATTTCAACTGGGGGAAAATTTAGGTAAAAATATCTATGAGTGTCTGATGAGAGAAAGCTTAAATAAGATGCTGTGACTGCACGAGACGCTGTCAATAATATAGTTGCTTACCTCAGTGCTGACAGCTTCATCTGAAGGGTTAATGAGCACCACCGTCTCCAGGACATTACTCTTATGGTGAAGAATTCTTTGCCCTGAACACAAAAAGAAAAATCAATAAGTAAAAATAAATAAATAGACCTCAGTACCGAAGTTGAAAAATGCATAAGGACAATAAAAATCTAAGCCTGAGGCAGAGACCCCCTTCTAACCTGAAGGGGGCATACTCACCTTTTTTCACTTGAGAACCGGAGAGGCTGAATCAAGAAAACTTACTTTGTATTCACCAGATCTACTAAACTACAAAAGACACAGCCACATGATAAACACTCACAATAAAAATATATTATATTGTCTTTCTTTTTTATGTGATACCCTTCTGCTATGTTTAAATCAATGAGGAAAATCAGGCCTCAGCCAAACGTCTCAACTCAACACTTGTATCAAATCTTTGATGAAACTGAGATGGTCCAGCAGCAGCTGTATGACTGTGTAAATATTAACCTCATTGCAGAGTAAATTGTCATCACTAAGATGGATGAAATCTTTGGAGAGCGAAGAGTAACACCTTATCATCTGCCGTCAAGATGAACTTAAGGGATTTGGGTGTTGTTTTTGACCAATCAACGTCTCTTGAAGGTCACTCAAAAACATCTGTCTGAAGCGGTTTTTATCACTTAAGAAATATCTCCAAACTGCGAAGGTTGATGTCTAAACATGAACTTGAAATGGTTCTCCATGCCTTTATCTCCTCCCCTCTAGATTACTGTAACACACTCTTCACATGTTTTAACAAAAAAGCCCTTGACCGCCTTCAGTTGGTCCAGAACTCTGCAGCGAGGCTCCTAACTGGAGCAAACAGAAGAGCTCACATCACTCCTATTCTGATGTCTCTACACTGGTTACCTGTTAACTTTAGAGTTCATTTTAGAATCCTGACTATAACTTTCAATGCTCTACATCACGGGTGGGGAACCCTGGTCCGTGGAGGGCCGCTATCCAGCACATTTTAGCTTCAACCCTCCTTCAACACACCTGATTATAATCAGCAGGTGATTAACAGGCTTCTGCAGAGCCCGATGAGCTGCTGAACAGGTGAATCAACCACTGAATCAGAAGTGTTGGAGCAAAGACATGCAGGATATCGGCCCTCGAGGACCAGGGTTTCCCACGCCTGCTCTACATGGTCAAGCTCCTCCCTATATTACTGAATTGTTAAAGCCTTATGCTCCAACCCGAGCCCTCAGGTCCACACACCAGAACCTTCTAGAAGCTACCGAAATCTTTTATTTTCTTATTTTTAACTCAAATTAGTAACATTTGATCTGTTTATGAAATGTGATCATTTAATGACTTTAATTTTCTGATGTTAATTTATTTCTGTTTTGAGATCATTATGATTTCATGACTTTGTTTTATTTTGTTTTGATCTATGTGAAGCACTTTGTGATTCTATGTCTGTTATAAGTGCTATAGAAATAAAATTTACTTACTTACTACTTATGATAATTCTCATTTACGAGCTTTAAAACAAAACTCTAGAAAATTGGAGAGAACATGGCGCTCTACGCACCAGGAGGAGTCCTACTTCTACTGGAAAAATAGTCTTGTGCTTCAAAAAAATAAGCTTAGACAAACTAGAACTGCCTATTTCTCAGCGTTAATTGAGGAGAATAAGAAAAATCCTAAAGGCCAGGCACAGCCCGAAGAGGAAATGTGGGTCCCCCTTCCCATGGGCTCACTACTCGTGGGAGTGGCCAAAGGGGTCGGGTGCAGTGTGTGACGGGTGGCAGTCGAGGGTGGGGACCTTGGCGGTCTGATCCTCAGCTACAGAAGCTGGCTCTTGGCACATGGAATGTCACCTCTCTGGTGGGGAAGGAGCCTGAGTTGGTGTGAGGTTGAGAGGTTCCGACTAGATATAGTCAGACTAACCTCAATGCATGGCTCTGGCTCTGGAACCAGTTTCCTTGAGAGGGGTTGGACTTTCTACCACTCTGGAGTTGCTCCCACTGAGAGGCGCCAAGCAGGGGTGGGCATACTAGTTGCCCTCCATCTTGGTGCCTGTACGTTGGGGTTTACCCCAGTGAATGAGAGGGTAGCCTCCCTCCGCCTAAGTGTGGGGGGATGGGTTCTGACTATGGTCTGTAATTAGGCACCAAACCACAGTTCAGACTACCCACCCTTTTTGGAGACCTTGGAGGGGGTGCTGGAAAGCGCTCCTTCTGGTGACTCCCTCATTCTGCTGGGGGACTTTAAGGCTCACGTGGTCAATGACAGTGAGACCTGGAGAGGCGTGGTTGGGAGGAATGGCCCCCCTGATCTGAATTTGAGTGGTGTTTTTTTATTGGACGTATGTGCCACTCATGGATTGTCCATAATGAACACCATGTTCGGACATAAAGGTGTCCATATGTGCTCTTGGCACCAGGATACCTTAGGCCGCAGCTCGATGATCGACTTTGTTGTTGTTTCGTCTGACCTGTGGCCGCATGTCTTGGACACTCGGGTGAAGAGAAGGGCGGAGCTGTCAACTGACCACTACCTGGTGGTGAGTTGACTCAGATGGTGGGGGAGGATGCCGGTCAGACCAGGCAGGCCCAAACGTATCACGAGGGTCTGCTGGGAACTTCTGGCAGAGTCTCCTGTCAGAAGGAGCTTCAATTCCCACCTCCGACAGAACTTCCAAAATGTTCCGGGGGAGGCGGGGGACATTGAGTCTGAATGGGCCCTGTTCCATGCCTCCATGGTTGAGGCGGCCGACCAGAGCTGTGGTCGCAGGATCGTCGGTGCCCGTCGTGGTGGCAACCCCCCGAACCCGCTGGTGGACACCGGCGGTTAGGAATGCTGTCAAGCTGAAGAAAGAGTCCTATCAGGTATTTTTGGCCAGTGGGACTGCAGAGGCAGCTGACGAGTATTGGCAGTCCAAGCGGAACGTGGCTCGGGTGGTCGCCAAGGCAAAAACCCGGGCATGGGAGGAGTTCGGTGAGATCATGGAGCAAGACTTCCGTACGGCTTTGAGGAGATTCTAGTCCACCATCCGGCGCCTCGGGGAGGAAAGCAGTTTGCTACCAGCGCTATCTATAGTGGGGATGATGTGCTGCTTACCTCTACTCAGGACGTTGTGGATAGGTGGGCAAAATACTTCGAAGACCTCCTCAATCTCACTGACACATCTTCCAGTGAGGAAGCAGAGTCTGTGGACTTTGGGTTGGCCTCTCAAATCTCTGGTGCAGAGGTCACTGAGGTGGTTAAAAAGCTCCTCTGTGGCAAGGCTCTGGGGGTGGATGAGATCCGCCCAGAGTTCCTTACGGCTCTGGATGTTGTGGGGCTGTGTTGGCTGACGCGGCTCTGCAATATTGCATGGACATCGGGGGCAGTCCCACTGGACTGGCAGACCGGGGTGGTGGTCCCCTTATTTAAAAAGAGGGGCCACAGGGTGTGTTCCAACTACAGGGGGATCACACTCCTGAGCCTTCCTGGTAAGGTCTATTCAGGGGTTCTGGAGAGGAGGGTCCATCGGATTGTTGAACCTCAGATTCAGGAGGAGCAATGCGGTTTTCGCCCTGGCCGTGGAACACTGGACCAGCTCTGTACCCTTAGGGGGATCCTGGAGGGTGCGTGGGAATTTGCCCAACCAGTCTACATGTGTTTTGTGGACTTGGAGAAGGCATTTGACCGTGTTCCTTGGGGGGCCCTGTGGGGGGTACTCCGGGAGTATGGGGTACCAGGCCCTCTGATACGGGCTGTTAGGTCCCTGTATGACCGGTGTCAGATCTTGGGCCGCATTGCCGGCAGCCAGTCGGGCTCATTCCCAGTGAGAGTTGGACTCCGCCAAGGCTGCCTTTTGTCCCCGATTCCGTTCATAACCTTTATGGACAGGATTTCTAGGCGCAGCCAAGGTGTGGAGGGCATCGGTTTTGGTGGCCTGGGGATCAGGTCTCTGCTTTTTGCAGATGATGTGGTCCTGTTGGCTTAATCAGAATGTGATCTTCAGCTTTCGCTGTAGCGGTTCGCAGCCGAGTGTGAAGCAGCTGGGATGAGTATCAGCTCCTCTAAATCTGAGACCATGGTCTTGATTCGGAAAAGGGTAGAATGCCTTCTCTGGGTCAGTGATGAGGTCCTGCCCCAAGTGGAGGAGTTTAAGTATCTCGGGGTCTTGTTCACGAGTGAGGGAAAACTGGAGAGTGAGATCGATAGGCAGATTGGTGCTGCATCTGCAGTGATGTGGGTGTTGTACCGGTCTGTCGTGGTGAAGAGAGAGCTGAGTCAGAAGGCGAAGCTCTCGATTTACCAGTCGATCTACGTTCCTACCCTCACCTATGGTCATGAGCTTTGGGTAGTGACTGAAAGAACGAGATCACGGATACAAGCGGCCGAAATTAGTTTTCTCCGAAGAGTTGCTGGGCTTTCCCTTAGAGATAGGGTGAGAAGCTTGGTCATTCGGGAGGGGCTCGGAGTAGACCCCTGCTCCTCCACATCGAGAGGAGCCAGTTGAGGTGGCTCGGGCATCTGGTCAAGATGCCTTTGGATGCCTCCCTGGTGAGGTTTTCTGGGTACGTCCAACCAGGAGGAGACCTAAAGGAAGATCCAGGACACGGTGGAGGGACTATGTCTCTCACCTGGCCAGGGAACGCCTTGGGATTACCCTGGAGGAGCTGCCCAAGTGGCTGGGGAGAGGGAAGTCTGGGCCTCTCGCCTTAGGCTACTGGCCCGGCAACCCGACTCCGAATAAGTGGATGAAAATGGATGGATGGATGGGTTACCAACGTCTTGCCTGTGTCGAAGATAAACCGGGACCCTCAACCGCAACTTATACCCGCATACGCACATTAAAAGTGATAAAATTCAACCTTTACACAGACATAGTGTTATAACAATTATACAGACCTTTGGTGTGTTATTCGGATTTTATTAATGTAAATTTTATTAATATAATCTTCGTAACCTCACTATTTCAGCACAGACAAAATTGTTAGGACCCCCTGCAATCTTGAGGGGACCCCAGGTTGGGAACCACTGATTTAGGAGATAACAGAGCACATCTCAGTTAGTAGAAGCTAACCATGAGCATTACCAACTCCACAACATGGAGGAA